GCCTGGAAGAGTCTGATTTCGATGCCAGAGGCTGTCGCTCTGTGTTGGAGGAGAAAACGCCTGCAGGGGGCCCCCACCCAGACCAGCCAGCGAGTGACCTGCGGATTTTAAAGGATGGAAGGGGGACCCCTGCCTTAGAGGCAAGGTGGGACAAGGAGCACCTCCCCCCCAACCACCCCCCCCCCAAAGAGATGACGATGAGAACGGGTCCAGGGTGGGGGGAGGGGTGGAGAACATCCACCAAGTTCACAGCAAACCCCACGCCAGCGGTTTGGCTCCCTGGCCGTGACCGCGGAATGCGGCCCCTCCCCCGAGTGTGGCTGGACCGAGCAGGGAGGCGCGCAGCGTCGGGAGGATGGGCAGATAAGGCAGGGGCGGTGATGCCGGGCACGGATGGGGTCAGGGACCAGGGCCGAGGCTTCCAGAAGGGCAGGGGCCGCAGAGGGTCGCCCGCAGGGAGCAGCTGCTCTGGGCTGGGTGCGGGGTGCGTAGGGAGGCGTGCGGACGGCGAAGGGGGCCGACGAGGGGAGACAGGTGCTGGGGAAGGGGTGGGTCCCAGCGAAGGAGCGGCTGTGCGAGGTGCAGCAGCGACCCGGGGGCGGCAGCGGGACCCCGACCGGGCCCCCGGCTCTGCCGGGCTGAGCCAGGCGCCCGCTCCGCCGTCGCCAAGTTCCTGCAACTTTGCCCGCTGCGCTCGGAGGGCGCGCCGGGCCCGGGGCGCACCAGGGGCCGGGGGCGCACAGCGAGCGGGCGCGGGGCGCGAGGTGCGGGGTCCGGCCGCGCCGCCCGAGAGTGGCCCGAGTCCCGCGCCCCTTGCCTCGGCCCCTCCGGCCGCGCTCGGACTCGGGCTCCGCGGGCGCCGCGCTTACCTTTCCGGGGCTGCGCCCGCCGCCGCCGCCGCCGCCGTCCTCCCGGCTCTAACTTCGCTCCGGGGATTGAAATTCCGCCCCAGCTTCGCCCATCGATCCGCGCGCCGCCCCGCCCCTCGCCTCGCGGGCAGGGGGGCCCTTGCGCGCGCGCCCCCCCCTCCCCCGCTCGCTCCCTCCCACCCCGTCTTCCTCCCCGCCCGGGTCCGGCGCCGAGTCCTCGCCTTGCCTGTTCCCCCCTCCCTCCCTCCCGAACCCCCTCCGCTCGCCCGGCCTCCGCGCCGCCTCGCTCCTTCCCTCCGCGGCCGCCGAGCGCAGGGGGAGGGGCGGGGAGGGGGAGGTACTCGAAAGCGCAGGAGGGTTTCCTCGCGGCCCCTCCCCTGCCCTGCCCTGCCGCCCACATCCAAGCGGGGGCGGGGGAGCGCGCGGATGCCGTCGCCCGGATGAGCCACCGCGACCCCCAGCACATTAGGCAGCGCCCGGGGCGGGCGTTCTCAGGACGCGGGTCGGCCGTCGGTCCCGCCCACAAGGGAGAAGACAGGGACCTAGGGACGGAGAACGTGTGGGGGCGGGGGGAAGGGAGCAGGTAGGGTAGGCCCCCCCACTACGCAGCCCCGGCCCCCCTTCCTTCCCTCACTCACCCCAACCTCTGAGAGGACCCCGGGGGGCTCTCGCGCACTCTTTCTGCTTACTTTGACCCTCACCACCTGCGTGTGCGGAAGCCCCCTTTCCGCAGGTTACAGGAGAGGAAACTGAGTCAAGAGAGGCCCAGAGGCTTGCTCCACGCCTGTCCGAAGCAGACCCCGAAGGGCAGCCTTCACCCCCAGGACGGATGCTCCTAACCCCTCCGGTCTCCCCGCTCCGGCCGGGCAGGCCCCCCCGCAGTGCCCTCAGCCCACCCAGTGGGCGGCCCGGCCGGCGCCTCAGGGCCCGCTCGTGTCCCTGCGCAGCCCGGCCGTCCCCGCCGGCGCCCGGGCCCCCTCCCCGCTTCCTGTCCCCCTCCCGCCTACGATTCCCGGCCTCAGTACCCCCGGCACGCTCTCCGCTCCCCGCCAGCAGCTGGGCAATTCACCGAGCATACAAAAGAGTTGACTCAATTCAAAGGCAGCAAATCAAGATAAATCCTATAGTGTGTGGGGACCGGGGAGGGAGTGGGAATGAACGCCCACAGCACAAGCGAGTCCTAGAGGGACGGCAAGCCCCCACCCTGCCCCCCAGCACCACCTGGGCAGGGAGGTTGGCCAGGAAGGGGGGAGTGGGCTGGGAGCTACCCTACCCCTGCCAGCCAGGATTTAGGAATTTCGGGCTTCCTCATGGTTCCCTCTTGCCTGCCAGTGGGGCTCCTTTGAGAGTGGGTGCCGAGCCTTAAAGGGGTGCCAGGACAAAAGCCAGTGTGTCTCCATGGTAACACACAAGTACTGGGGGGCAGTGTGTCCTGGAAACACTTCACAGGGTCAAGGGTGAGGCACAGCGAGGACGGCACTGGGGCATTTGAGCTGTAGCCACTCTCTCTGAGCCTCCCCTCACGGACCCCCGTCCCAGCAGGCCACAGGCCAAGGGCAGGCCCTTGTTCATCAGCAGATGGACACTGCGGCTTCAGCTGTGCCTGGCCTGGGCACGCCGACAGAGCAGGGCATGAGCGGGCCCCCCTCTCCTCTCTGCTGTCCAAGAGGCCTCTCCGGATGGTTCGGACTGGGGAGAGACTGGTCCTCCCCTAGGGCCCACCCTGGTCACTCTTGGAAGGTCCGAGAAGGGAGAAGCAACCTTCCAGCTCTGGCCTCACCAGCCCTGTGCGGGAAATGCACAGGAGGGAAGGGAGTCGAGGCCCCGAGCAGCCTTCCCCAGGCAAACCCCTGACTTCCCTTTAGGGCTGGTTCCCCAGGCGCTTGATGGCCCAGCAGCTCCCTGCTCTGGAAGGATCCGCGTGGCATTTATATGGGCGTCTCCGGGGTGCCAGGACGGTGCTAGGTGCCTAGCTAGAGATGCATCACGACCTCCTCGCTGCCCCCTTGGTGCAAAGGCTATGAGCCCATTTCTGCAGCATGCAAGCCGAGGCCAGAGGCACTGCCCGACCGCCCTCCCACCAGGCAAGTATGTGGCCCCCCAGAGTCAGTGCTCCAGGAGCTCAGAGGTCAACTGGAGGAGCGGGTTAGAGGTCCCTGCGGGAGGGTCCCCACAACCGGAGAGGATCCCTGAGCGGGCGGCAGAGAGCGAAGCGCACAGCTGGGGGCGCAGAGAATTGGAGGCGGGGCCAGCCATTGGGGTCCTCGCCTCTGCGCCCCCTACCCCGAGCCCAGGCTGCGCCGTCAGGCTGCGACCTCGTCCCCTGAGTCTCCGCTGGGTCGCCCCTCCCCCGTGGCCGCGCCGGTTGGCGGCCTGCGTGGAAGTCATTAATTCTGTTACAGAGACGCCGGCGCCACCGCCGCGAGGACATCTGTCAGGGACCCGATACTGCGCACCACGCCCCCTACCCCACCCCCAGACCCAGAGCTGGGTGAAAAGATGCGACCGCTCACTTATCAAGGCTCTGAGACCGCCGGAGCGCGGCACGCAGCGCTGGAGGGCGCTGGGGTCCCGGAGTTAACGGAGGGGGCGGGGCCGACGGCCAGCTCTGGGGGACAAAGACCCCCCCCCAAGCTGTTTGGGGGCTGGGCTCTGCAGACTGGAAGACGGGAAGAAGCAGCCCCTATTCCCCCGTTCCCGAAATCCTCAAATCCACTCAAGCCTGGGGTGGGGTGGGGGAGCAAATAGAATCCTAGGCATTCGGGGTGCGTGGAGGCGACGCTGGAAGGGGGGCCATCAGGACATTGCCCCCTCCCTTCACATGCAGCTGTAGCTACACCCTAAAACCCTCTCAGAAGCTTCGCAGGTCCCCTCTTCTCTCTAAAGCCCCCTAGGCTGTCTGTTGCGACCACCCCACTCCCCACGGCCCCTCAGATGGGGTGGCGACCGGCCCCCAGGGACGGGCGAATGGGAGCGCATCGGTGTGTCGGTTCAGAGGAAGCGACGCTGATGGGACGAAATTCCTGCTTATCCCTGGCAGTCTGGCCCCAGGGACCCCACACCCATCCAGCGGAGGAGGACTCGGTTGGGGACTGTGCTCAAATCGCGCCAGTCTGGCCGGGGCAGCTGACTGACGGGGCGGCCACAGGCCACACCGTGCAGTTTGGGAAGAGAAAAAGTTGGGGGGGGCGACACCCAGAGACCAGAGAGGAAAGAGTGGGAGCACAGCAGGGGGGTGTGGAGGGAAAAGCGACAGGATGGGGACCACGAGAACTGGGGAGGGGGCTGAGTCTGGGCCCGGGGTCGCCCCAGCCTGCAGCCAAGCCTGGCTTCCCGGCTTCCCGGGCCGGGAGAGATCGGGTCACAAGCGTCTATTAATAGCCGCGAGCCGGGTCCTTCCCGGGAGCTCAGCAGCGGCGGGCAGAGCCAGGCGACCGAACTGGAGGAATGGGGGGTCCTGGAACACCTCCTCCAAAGGCTCGGGCTGCGCGGGGCGGAGTGCTGCTCCCCAACGCCGGCTGGGCGAAGGCGAGGCACCCAGAGTCCACTCCTTGTCCGCCCTCCACTACAGGATGGGGTTCCAGCTTGAGGGGGGCAGTCTCCGGGCCAACTTGGGGCGCCGCGGCTCCCACCGCGCACTCGCAGGCAAGACCACCCCCTCGCTCCCTGCCCAGCCCGCCCTTCGCTCTCACAGCGCTCAGCAAAGTTTCGGGGTCCCCGCGGCGCCTCCTAGCCCGAGGGGTCCGGAGTCCTGGCCCATCGGGCCGCGGCGTCGGAGAGGGAAGTTTGTCCGGCCGGGGCTCGGCGACCGCTAACTTCGGGTGCGCCCGCCTCGGAACCCGGGTGAGCCGGGGGGACGCCCAGGAACCGCGGACCCAACGCGCCGCAACCAAAGCTCCACCGGCGGGGGAACTCGGCCCCGGCGCGGACGCTCCGGGCAGGACGCAGGGGTTGGGGCGGCCGGGGCTCAGGGAACCGCTGGGGACCCCGCGCCCGCCCCCACTGCCTCCGGGGAGAGCATCTTCCCCGCCTCCCCCAGGGGCGGGCCCCGCTGGCCCCGCAGCTGCCGCAGAGGAGACCCCCGCCCCCGCAGCCCCCGCGCAGCCCCCTCTCCCACAAGCCCCTTCCTACCTGGGCCGGGTGCGGGCCCGGGGCTGGAGGCACGGTCTCGGGCGAGCGGAGCGCGCGCGCCCAGGTCCCCGGAGCGCGGCGGCGGCGGCGGCGGCTTCCCCTCCTTCCTCCTCCTCTTCCTCCTCCGGCTCGCTGGCTCCAGACAGATCTCCTCCCCCTCGCGCCCTGCCCGCCCCTCCCGGAGCCCGCCGGGCTGGGCTCGGCCTGCGACGGGGAGCGGAGCGGAGCCGGCGGGAGCCGGGCTGCGGCGCTCACTGCGTCAAGCACGGGGCGAGCGCGGGGCGGCGGCGGGGACCGCGCGCTCCGAGCCCGGGGCCAGCCGGGCAGGCGGGGAAGCGGCGGCGGCGCCGGCGACGCCGAGGGGCCGGGCGGCTCGGGCTCCGGCTCGGGCGCGGGCGCGGTGGTGGCGGCCGTGGAAGCGCCGAGGTTGTAGCACATTCTTTCTGAGCGTGATCGAAGGCTTCATGCAGGAGCCGGAGCGGGGAGGGCAGGAGGAGGGGCGGGGGACGCGGGCGGGGGCGGCCGGAGGGGCGGGCGGGCGGCGGGGTCGCTCCCGCAAGTCGGTGGACTGGGGGTGTCCGGAGGGCGACGCGGGAGGGGAAGTTGGAGCGTGCGTGGGGGCGGCGTGGGGAGCCCAGAGGCCGCCTCGCCCCCTCCTCCGGCCCGCCCCGCGCGCCCCTGCCCCCGCCGAGGCCACTATGTGGAGCAGCAGCCCCCAAAGGTCTAGGAGCTGGCCCACTTGGTGGCGATGGGGGTGGGCCCCCGGGCCGGGGAGGTGCACACACCCCCGGGAACCCCGTGAAAGTTGACCCGAAGTCAGACCTCGCGTGGGCGCGCGTCCGCCGGTGCAAACGCACCGCTGGCAGGGGCGCGCGTTCCGGGGGCTGCGGAGGGCCTGGCATGTGCGGAGGTGGGGGTGAGAGGGTGGTCGGGCCCTCAGGGACTTGCCCCGCCCCCACATCGCTGACTCCCCACTGCCCTCTCATTGCTCTCCCCTTTCCCCGAGGGGAGGGGACGTGGGATCAGCCGGGCCCCTTCCGATTCCGGGAAGGTTTGGTTTATCCGATTTCCCTCCCGCCGATCCTCCTCCCCCTCTCTCGCCTCCCGAACCCCCGGGGGTCCGAAATCGCTCGGTCCGGCTCTAAACTGGGTTCTAAACCCGCAGCCCCCTTGTCGCCCCGAACCGGCGCCCAGCGGCCACGCGGCCTCCCGGGGCGGCGCCCACCGCCCGCCGCCCCTGCCGGCCTGCGGCTGAGCGGAGGGTGAAAATCCCAAACCAGGCTCAAGAGCGCCCCCACCGGGCACGGCCTGCGCGCCGCTTCCGAGCCGCGGGGTCGAGGCTGCGGGGCGGGGACCCGGCGGACGCCGGGCGCGACCCTCCAGACACCGCCCCCGCCCCGCGGTCCTGCCCCGCCCGCCAAGGGAGGCGGAGGCGGCGGGGCCGGTGTGCGCGCCCTGGAGCGCGCGCGGCAAAGGGGTGGGGGCTCCTGGGGGGTGAGGGGGGTGCCTTGGGGGAGCCCCTCCGGGAGGAGGCCCCGGAACAGGCGTGGAGAGGCGCGTGAGGCCACGAGCAGCGGAGCCAAAGGCTGTCCCGATCGCTGGTGGGCGCGGGGCCTGGGGTCGGGGTCGGGTCCAGCGGCCTCTCCGCAACCCATAAACTCCACCCAGCCTGCGGCCTCGGCCGCCTGCCCTCCGCGCGCTTCCCACCCTGCCCTGTGCCTCCACCAGACTCAAGGTCTCTGCAGGAGAGCGGGGAGCCGAGACCCCAAAGGGGGCCAGTGGCGGGGAGGAGAGGTCACCACCTTTCCCCTGGACTCCTGGACCTGGAGGATGACGGATGATGGTCAAGGGCTGTCCGTGGGCTGTCCGGTTCTTGACTTGGGGAGCAGGGGCGCTCAGACCTCCTGGGAAGGCGGGGGGCAGAGGCTGGGCTTGGGGTCTCTGTTGCCCAGGGCCTTCGTGGGGTTGCACAGCCTTCTGTAGCCCAGGCGAGGCTGCAGCCCCCTTTCCCGCTTCCTCTCTCCTTGAAAGTCCGTGACCCGGTTCCCGGGAGGGCCACTCCTGAGGGAGGGGGCTCTCCTGCCCCACAGCCCGGCCTTTCCTGCCTTTCACACCCTAATTCTCTCGCCAGCTCCTGGAGACGTTGAAATACAGCCTTGTTTTCTCCCAGAGGGCAGAGCCGGGCTGTTGCCCCCCCAAAAGGTGGGGCATGGGAGACCCCAGGGCAGATCTGAGGGGGGAGGTCAATGGAGGGGCATCTTCCTCTGGGTTGAATAAAGCCACAGCCGCCGCCCCCCCCTCCCCCCACCTTCTCTCTCTGACAGACACTCATATGGTCCTGAAACCCCCACGCAGCCTCTGGTGTAGACACACACATGACACCCACACATTGCAGGTCTACACACGGGGCCCTCATCTCACCCCACATCCCATTCCCCCACGTGGTGGTGTCTGTACAGAGAAGACAGGACCACCCCAATCTTCCCCCCACCCGCACGGAAGCCCAGTTTAAGTGGGAGCTGGTGTAGCCAGGCATCATGCCTCCTGCTCCACACACCCCGAGTTCACACCTAACCCTCATGAACACACACGTGCACACCCGTGTGGAATTACAAAACGCACCTCCGGCTGTCAAGCATGTGCGTGCTGCTTGCATCGATTGGCTTAGTCCTCACGGCCACCCTAGCCGAGAGTACTATTAACACCTGCCAGTTCACAGGGACACCAGGACTCCAACTGCGCAGAAACTGGGGCAGCAAGATTCTTGTTTTTATTCAAACCAACCAACCACCACGTCAGGACCCATCCCAGCGCTCTTTGGGGAGAGGCAAGCTGGGCCCTGAGGGTCCTTGAGGCCTGGGGCTATGGGGCTGCCACCTTCCCAAGATGTTAGGGGCCCCCCTCTGTGGCTGTGCCCCCGGACACCCTGGCATTCTTTGGCCAAGAACTTGCCACGTCCCATCTTCCGCCAGACGGTGAGCTCAGGGGAGCAGGGCAGCCTGACTCACCCTTGAGTCCTAGTGCCGCACTCCGGAGCAGCACAGAGGAGGGACATGTCTCTGCACCACTGAGGTTGGCTCCTCTCTCCTCTAAGGATGGCCTGGTTGGGAGTAACTGACCCAGGAAGGTCAGTCACCTGAGGCTGTGCCTGGAAGGAGTGAGGGACACAGTGGCTGGGATTAAGGTGGAGGAGAAGAACCCTCCCCTCACCCATCCTGAGGAATGGTACCCAGAGAAAAATAGTAGCTGTGCCCAGAACTTCACAGCAACAGCAAAAAATCACCCATAAACTCCAAAAGCCGTAACAGAAAAGAATCAGTAAAAGAAACAATATGTCCAACTTACATCCCACACAAAGAGCCAATGTCCTCATATGTAAAGAGCACTTACAAATCAATAAGAAAAATACCAAGGAAGGGGGGAAAATGGGCAGAGGGTTATGAACAGAAAAAGAAATTAAAAAGAACACTTAAACATACAAAAAGTGCCTGGTCTCACACTTAATAACAGAAATGCAAATCAAAACTACTCTGAGAGATGATTTTTCATCCATCAGGTGGGCAAAGAGTGAAAAGTTTAATGACGCACCCTGTTGCAATAGTGTCGGGGCGCAGACACTCTTGGAACCTCTGCAACAATGTCAAAATTCCCAATCCACATACCCTCTGGCCCAGCACTTCCTTCCAGGAATCCGTCCTCCAGACACTGCTCGCAAATGTGAAAAATGATGTATTACTGTGTACAAGGTTATTCTCCGAAGCACTGTTTGTAACAGCAGCACATTGGAACCGTCCGGAGTGTCCGTGGATGATGGAGCACTTAGATGCATCCTGGCTCATCCACACAGATCGCGTGCAGCCGGGCAAGCACGGGCTGATTTAGCGCATCTCTGAGGTATGGTCTATAGGGGAAAAAACAACGGGCAGAACGGGGTTGGTTTGTTTTTTTACATTTGTGTGCAAAAAGGTAAAACAAAATCACATATTATTTGCTTGTACGGGCACAGGCGGAACTGTGGGAGAAGACCCAGGACTCGAAGCAGCGGTGCCTGCCGTAGGAAATGGATGGCTGGGAGGCAAGGAGAGAGGGCATCGAAGAGGTCTACGTAAAAATGACTTTAGAGGCCGGCCCGGTGGCGCAGCGGTTAAGTTTGCATGATCCGCTTTGGTGGCCCGGGGTTCACCAGTTCAGATCCTGGGTGCGGACATGGCACCGCTTGGCAAGCCATGCTGTGGTAGGCATCCCATGTATACAGTAGAGGAAGATGGGCACGGATGTTAGCTCAGGGCCAGTCTTCCTCAGCAAAAAGGAGGAGGATTGGCAGCAGATGTTAGCTCAGGGCTAATCTTCCTCAAAAAAAAAAAAAAATGTGTCTAATGCTTTATTTATTGACAGATAGTGAAATTCACCATTCTCAAGGGTACAGTTCTATGAGTTAGCAAAGGTATCCATCCGTGTCATCACCACCCCAATCCAGAGAGTGACATTTCCATCACCCCAGAAAATGAGACTTGCTTGTTACTGTGTCCCCATGTCTCCCATTTGAATTGCGTACAGTGTACATGTTTCCTTTTGTAATAAATTTAAATACGAAAGTTAAAATGAAAGATTGTTTCGTATCTGTCATCTCACCTGGTCCCCCGAGAACCCAGGAGGCCAATCTCTCCAGCACATTTTAAGGGTGATGAGTGATGAGACTGAACCAAATGGGGTGACAGAGACCTGACTAATGAGACCCCAGAGGGGCAGAGCAGGATTGGAAGCCAAGGCTATCTTTTTTTTTTTTAAAAAAAAAAAAGCACTTTATTGAGGTATAATTGGTATAATTTACATACCATACAATTCACCCTTTTAAAGTGTACAATTCAGTGGCTCTTAGTATCTTCGCAGAGCTGTGCAACCTCCACCACAGTCTAATTTTAGAACCTTTGTTCACCCCAAAAGGAAACCCGGGTGCCCATTCACAGTCACTCCCGTTCCCTGCCCCCACCCCCAGCTCTACGCCACCACCAACCTGCCTTCCGTCTCTATGGATTTGACTGTTCCAGATATTTCTATCAATGGTGGCCTTTGGTGACTGGCTTATTCTACTCAGCATGTCTTTTTGAGATGCATCTACATTGTAGCGTGGGTCACTATTTCATTCCTTTTAATTGCCTAATACTATTCCATCGTATGGACGTACCGCATGTTATCCTCCATGCCTCAGATGCTGGCCACTTGCAGTGTTTCCACTTTGGGTATTAGAAATAGCGCTGCCGTGCACATTCCCGGACAGGTTTTTGTGTGAATGCATGTTTTCCTTTCTCTCTGGCGGATACGGAGGAACGGAATGGTTGCATCATATGGTAACTCTGTCTAACATTTTGAAGAACTCGCAAAGTGTTTGCCGAAGTGGCTGCAACATTTTACCTTCCCACCAGTAGCGTCTGAGTTTCAATATCTTCGCATCCTCGGGCTCGCACGTTTT